GGTGGCAGCTGCTGTCACAGCAGCCTGTTTGCTCCCTGTCTGAGAAGGGGAGCTCTCTGGGGTCCTTGGTGATACCACAGGATTCTCTCTGGAGCCTTTCCTGGCATTCCCAGAGTGACACTCTGCTGTCATCCGCGTGCAGTGGCTCCCCCGGGGGCCTGGCAATGCTCTCAGTTGAGCTTTTCTGGCCTCTTTTTTATGTGCCAGGAAGAGGTGTCGGAGAGCAGCTCCAGCACGGATGCCGTTCCCCGGACTTACCTGCCAGATTCATCCTCCATCGCCCAGTCCACCTTGGTCTCCAGTGTCTCCACTGTGAGCCAGTCCATCATGGTGTCAGAGTCCCCCCAGGTCCTGGTCCACTCCAGTGTCATCACCGATGGAGCCACAATTGTGTCAGACTCCACCACGTCCTCTGACCTCAGCTCTGCCATTGACAAAATCATTGAGTCCACGATCGGGCCCGACATCATCCAGAGTGAGTGCCTGCTCCTGCCTGCTCTCTCTGCGGAGCAACTCAGGGGGCTGGGGATGGAGCTGCTGCTGTGCTGGGCCTCGGGAGGCAATGGGGAAACACACATGTGCATGAACACACCTCGATCCAGGGGGTTTCTCTTCTTGCCTTGGTGGGAGAGGGCATGACAAGGAGCTCGTGGCTGCTGCGGCTGCTGGGCAGCCCAGGGCAGGCTGCTTGGTGGAGCCAGGCCTTCCTCGCCCCTCCTGGCTCATATCTGGAGCTGGAAGAGCCCTAGAGAGCCCCAGGGACTCTGCAGCCCTCACATCTGGCAGTCACAGCTCTGCTCTCCTCTCCCTGCCAGGCTGCATCGCCGTGACCAGCGCGGAGGAGGGCGGGGCAGAGACCACCCAGTACCTCATTCTGCAGGGCCCTGACGATGGTGAGAGTGTGTCCGGTGGGGCCTGTCTCTGCCTGGGGCCTGTCCTGCTGGAGCAGGGCCTGGAGCTGGTATTCCCGCCGCACTGGGCTTTTTTGCACTGGCCCCCGTACTGGAGTCCTTGTAGATGTGCTGAGTGCTGAGAACTTGTTCCTGAGCTGGGGGTGGGTGCAGGCAGGGGTCTGCTGTGTGGCTGAGCTGGTTCTGATGTTCTAGGTGCTCCCATGGTGTCCCAGATGGCTACATCTGCCCTGGCTGGTAGTTTGGCTGTAGAAGCTGTTGCTGATGGACCAACCTCCACGTGCCTTGACCAGCCTGGCCCTTCCAATCCTCCCAAGCAGTCAGAAGTGCTGGAACTGCCAACACGGCATGATCAGGCCCAGGAGGTGGACGGTGGGGAGGAGCTAGAGCAGCCAGACATGGAGACCCTGGAGGAGATGATGGAGGTGGTGGTTGTGCAGCAGTTCAAGTGCAAGATGTGTCAGTACAAGAGTGTCTCCAAGAAAACGCTGATCAACCACATGAAGGAGCGGCACTTCCAGCCAGGTGTGTGCCGAGGGGAATCCCCCAACTGCAGCTGGGCTCCGCTTCCTGCAGGGAGAGAACAGGGAGGAGCAGAGTGTGAGGACCCGTTCTGCCACGGGCTGGTAAAGAGTTCCTGTTCTGTTCTCTGTGGCAGTGGGCTCAGCTCTGGCTTTGAAGAAAGGACGTTCACGAAAGGGGGGTTCCGCTCCGAAGTCTGCGGAGGAGGAGGTGGCAGAAGAGGAAGAAGATGACGATATCATGGATGCTGGTGCTATTGATGACCCTGAAGGTAGGACTCGTCCTCTCCCATCTCACGTAGCTCACTTTTTTCTCAGTCGCTGTCTGACCTCTTGGGCCGTTTCCCCCAGAGGACAGTGACTACAACCCGGCCGAGGACGAGCCCCGCGGGCGGCTGCCCAGGCTCAGCTGCACGGTCCCCACGTCCAGCGAGGAGAGGCCGCGGCGACGCCCAGGGAGACCCCGCAAGTGTCCTCGTCTGGAGGACGTGGCCCAGGACATGCCAGAGGGTGCGGGGAGCAGCAGAGAGCAGCCATGTGCTGGGCTGGAGCAGGGAGCAGTGTGAGCTCCCAGAATCCATGGGGAGGGCATGTGGCTGAGCTGTGCCCTGTTCTGCTGGGCAGGAGGTGAGGTGGAGCCCTTGGTGCCGCCCCAGAGCCCCCCCAGCCATGAGCTTCAGAGCTCGGAAGCAGCCAGTTCCTCTGGCCTGGAGAATGGGAGCAGCGAGAGCCTGGCAGAGCCGAGCATCAGCCAGTCTGACTCTGAGAACAAGGACCCATCCTCCAACATGGGCCCCGAGGAGGCAGACATGGTCCCCCGGCGGCGCGGGCGGCCCTCCCGCCGCTTCCTGGGCAAGAAATACCGCAAGTACATGGGGCGCAGGTGAGGGGTGTGTACCGAGCTGGTGCTGGGGCCTCTGGCCTCTGCCCAGGGCCGGTCCAGCTCCCCTGCTCTGCAGCCCTCAGCCCCCTCCCCTGGCCACAGGTACTACTACAAGTCTCCGAAGCCTCTGATGCGGCCCTACCTGTGCCGGATCTGCGGCTCGCGGTTCCTCACGCACGACGACCTGCGCTTCCACGTCAACTCGCACGAGGCCAACGACCCGCAGCTCTTCAAGTGTCTGCAGTGCAGCTACCGCTCCCGCCGCTGGTCCTCCCTCAAGGTGGGCTCTGTTTCACACCCGCCAGGAGGGCGGGTGGCCCCGGGCTGACACTCTACTCTGCTCCTGGCAGGAACACATGTTCAATCATGTGGGCAGCAAGCCCTACAAGTGTGAGGAGTGCAGCTATACCAGTGTATACAAGAAGGACGTGATTCGGCACTCCACAGTGCACAGCCGGGACAGGTGAGGGAGGTGCAGCCCTCGGGGCTGTCTCACAGCCTGGCAGGGCAGTGCTGACCCAGTTCCGCCTGGCCCCACCCCTTTCCAAAATGGGTTGTTTTGGTGTCTGAGTACAATGGAGCTGGGATGTTGTGCAATGTGGCTGACGCAAGGGGTTTTTCCTTTCTTTTTTAGGAAAAAGAGAGCTGATCCGGTGAGTTTAGGTGCCCTGCTGGCGTGGCTCAGCACTGCTGTGTGGGAAGAGGCACGCCTGGGCCTTCCACACATGGTGCCTCGTTGAGGGCAGTGTCTGGATCGCCTGAGGAAAGGCAGCCCAGGTCCTGCAGTAGGGAGCGGGTAAGGACAGGGGTGAGCCCCTCTGGGGGGACCTCATCTTCCTGCTCTCCCTCCAGCCCCCCAAGCTGAACTTCCCATGCCCCGTATGCAACCGTGTCTACCCTATGCAGAAGAGGCTTACACAGCACATGAAGACACACAGCACAGAGAAACCACACATGTGTGACAAGGTGAGGGGGGGACATGGCCTGGGGAGGGGCCGTTCGTGAGCGAGGCAGGAGGTGAATGCCGCTGCGCTTTGTCTGGCTGCAGTGTGGGAAGTCCTTCAAGAAGCGGTACACCTTCAAGATGCACCTGATGACACACATCCAGGCCATCGCCAACCGCAGGTAGGAGCCTCCCTCCCTGTGCCCAGCTGGAGCCCCCATCCCAGCTGCCCTGTGGTGGGGCTGGCAGGAGGTCCCTGCTGCCCCTGTGATGGGCGGCCTGTCCTGGCAGGTTCAAGTGCGAGTTCTGTGACTATGTCTGTGAGGACAAGAA